GTGGTGGGCTTATTATGATCATGTGTTGGTGGAAGGCTACCCAAATGGCAAATGCAAACAATGTGGTGCTTTGATCAAAGCACATGCCGTCAACAATGGGACTAGTGGCTTGAAAACTCATCGCTTGGCATGCGAGAGGAAGAGGAAAGAAGCTGGTGGTCAGTCATTATTGAACTACCAACCTGGGGATGGTGAGGTAGGCTCTCTTACTCCATGGAAGTTCGATCAAAAGAAAGCTAGGACTGCATTAGCTATCATGATAATATTGGATGAGCTTCCATTTAGATTCGTTGAGCGTGAAGGGTTTAAGAGATTTATGGCTATAACACAACCTTTGTTTGTGATTCCTGGAAGACAAACAATAAGGGAAGATTGTTACATCATATTTCTTGAGAAGAAAGAGTTGTTAACTGAATTTTTCAAGATGAAGTGCAAACGAAGGATTTCAATTACCACAGATACTTGGACTTCTGATAACAATCAGAATTTTATGTGTGTGACTGCTCATTTTATTGGGAGTGATTGGAAGTTGCAGAAGAGGATAATTAGTTTTGTTCCTATCACTAGTCACACAGGAAAAGATATTGCAGAAAAGTTGGCAGCATGTCTAGAAGAATGGAAGGTGCATAATTTGTTCAGCATTACAATGGACAATGCCACTTCTAATGATGTCCTTGTTGAGTGCATGAGAACAAAGTTGAAAGAGTGGGGATCGGATTTGATGAATGAGAAGTTCTTACAATTTCGATGTGTGGCACACATAATAAATTTGGTTGTTTCTGATGGACTGAAGGAAGTTGGACTTGCTGTAGAGAGGGTTCGTGATTGTGTGAAATGGGTGAAGTCGTCACCAGCTCGGAGTGAAAAGTTCAAATCTACTATTTCATTTCTTGAAATAGATGGGAGAAAACTAGTGTCTTTGGATGTTCCAACTAGGTGGAACTCCACCTATTTGATGTCGGAATCTGCAGAACGGTTCGAGGTTGTGTTTAACTTCATGCATTCAAGTCCAAATGGTGCTCTTTTCGAGATTATGTTGATTCAAAGAAGGGTCTACCAAGCAAAGAAGATTGGTGCAATATCAGACGGCTAATGAAGTACCTGAAGTTCTTTTATGATCTAACCCTTTGTGTTTCGGGTATGTGAATATCAAATTTTCAAATCCATTACCATTCCTTTTGATAATTTATCTTATCTTAAAGTTGTGAATCATGAGTTACAACTTATACTGTTATATCTACCTTGTATCAGGAACATCATATGTGACTGCACATACATTCTTCAAGGCCATTGTTGATATTTTTGAAGTGATAACAACATTGAAGAATGATATGGATGAGCAGATACAACAAATGGCAAACAGAATTGAGGCTAAGGTACGCAAGTATTGGTTTGAACATGATGAGGAGGAGGAGGAAGAGAACCTAAAGATAAATAGACTAGTTTACACAGCATGTGTGCTGGATCCTAGGCGTAAACTTGCATATCTATCTTTTATGTTGGATGCTATGTATGGGAAATCGAAAGGAGAAGCTTTGGTAAAGGAAGTAACTGCAGACATGACTGATATGTTTGAGATTTACACATTGAAGTGTTCATCTCCATCATCTGAGACCACTTCATCCTACTCCTACTGTGAGTGATGCTAGTGCTGGTACTAGTGTTTTGGGAGGGAAATATGATGCTGAGTTCAGGAAGAGGAGAAAGGAGCAACTTCAAAAGGGGGTTCGAGGTAGTTCTGAATTGGACATCTATTTAAGAGATGTTGATGATGCTATTAATGAGGATGATGATGATAAGAAGTTCAACATTTTGAAGTGGTGGTCTCGGAACAGTGTTAGATATCCCGTCCTTTCAGAGATGGTTAGGGATATCCTGGCAGTTCCAATCTCCTCAGTTGCCTCAGAGTCTGCTTTCAGTTGTGGAGGTAGAGTGCTTAGTCCGTTTAGGTCTTCTTTGAACTCTAACATTGTAGAGGCCTTGATTTGTGCCGATGATTGGATACGGTATGAATGTGGTAAGAATTCAGGCCAAGTTGATGATAAAGAAGAAGATCAAGAACAGATTGATTATGAAAGAGGTAATAGTTCTTATTTGTTTTTAGTTATTCACTCACTTTATATCCAAGATAATTGATGAATTCTAACAATTTGTTTTTTCCCCTTAAATTTAGTCACTAGTACCTTTGAAGCTCGAATGGAAAGTGTAGGTGATATGCCAAGTAATATACCCATTGTGGTTGAGGAGGAGGATGGTGATGGAGAAGAAGAAAAAGAAGAAGAAGAAGAAGAAGAAGAAGACGAAGAGGATGAAGCGGAGGATGAAGAGGAGGATGAAGAGGAGGATGATAATGATGTTCTTCTCAACACTTTGAAGAAGCAAGGTTGTGCCGATGTTGGCGGTTCGCGCCATATTAGCAATGGAGGAGCTAGTGGTCAATCTTAGTGGTGTACTTATGCTATCTTTATGTTGGAGAATTTTATTTTAAGTTGGAACTTGTAAGTGTAACTTATGTTGTGAGAGTGAGACTATGTTGAATTGTTGATTGTTAGATGATGGAATTTGTGATCTATTTCATGTTTGAGACTATGTACTTATGTAGTAGTAATGCTATATTTATCTACTAACTACTTGTGTAGAATGTAGTTGACATTAACAATGTCATTGCGTAATGGAGTATTGGACTATTAGATAAACAACTAATTAACTAATTACTTATTACTATTAACTAATAGTGAATTGTTGATTAATAAAACTTGCTAGACGATAGCAATACAATATAGTAATGATAAATAAACAAACAAAATTATTTACATCATTTAATTAAACAACATTCATAAAAATAAAAAGAACAAAAAGCCCAAATCAGCCCACTCGGTATCGGTATTAAGTCGGTATACCGGCTCGAAAACATAACTCAATGCATTAACCGGTATTCGGTATACCGGTATTAATACCGGATACCGACTATTTGGTATTCGGTATACCGGATAACATTCGGTATCGGTATTCGGTGGGTACACAATGTTATCCGGTATACCGGATACCGACTATTCGGTATCCGGTATACCGGATACCGACCGATTACCAGCCCTAGCTAGGGTGATGAGCTAGCAGAAAATGTCAGTCTCCTCTTGCTGAATGAGGGTTTCGTATGGTTTTGCTGGGAAAATTGATTGAAGAGGGAAATGGTTGGAAGAATATTGGGGGAATGTGGGATGTATGTGAGTTTTTAAAATCTCTCATACCCACAATTCCTAATATTCAAAACTCTTTCCAAGCATGGTATTTTGTCAAAATCCACATTGTGTGAGATTGTGCCAAATACTGCACTGAAAACCTCACCTAAACAACCCATTGGAGTAACCATACGATCATGTAATAAGACTATCTAAGATCGATTATAACTTATACAAAATTTTCCTTCCTTTTGCATCCCCACCCCAACTTTACGTATAAGACTGAATCTTCGGCTGGATCAGTAAGACGGTTAAACCAGTTACAATAGCAGTTCTGTCTATTTATTTGAACGACTATGTATGAATCTGACATGATATCAGATAAACCGCTCCACTTTGACAAGTTAATTGGTTCAATATTTTAACAAAAAATTTTCAGGAAAAAGATTTAACATAACTAAGGGGTTGTTTGGATGGATTTTATTGATCATGTGGTATTTGTGAGATGAAATAACTCATTATTTGACAATTAGATATTTGTGTGGTATTTAAGTGGTAATTGGATTAAAATGTCTTGTTTGGCTCAAAGAGTTAATTGTGGTGTGTTATTCTATAATATTCAGTTAAAATACAAACATACCCTTCTTCACTACCCTTCTATTGAAAGACAACGAACAAAGATGCTTGCTACAAACCAATGAAGAAAATTGGGGGAACAAAACGAACATCAATTCCACACCAGTCCACTGCTATTGCTTCTGCTGTTGGTGACGGAGAAAAAGGACCCTCTGGCCCATCCAATCGCCGATGCTCACTAACGGACGACCACTCCAATGAACCTCTTCCATCGCTGATGCTCACTAACGAACGACCACTCCAATGAACCTCTTCCATCGCCGCCAGCAGAAGAAGAAATCATCGCCAATGAAGCTGTACCGTCACTGCCGCCTAGGGTTTCGCCTACTCAATCGGATTTGCATAGAGAAAGAAATTTAAAATTAGTAGAGGAATTGATTTTGCAGCAGTGGATTTTGCCTCCGGAGAGAAAATCGAAGGAGAGAAGAATTGAACGAGAAGAAAGGAGGAAGAAGGAGTGGGGGGGAGAGAGAGAGGGGGGCAGAACGGGGCACAGAAAATCCCACTACGCGTTATTTACAAATAACACTGGGGTGGGTGGTATTTAGAATACCGCAATTCGCGTTAATTATAAATAACTCGACCCCCAAATACCGCAACTCAATTTTGTGAACGCAAACGAGTTATTTCGGCCCAAAACGACCCCTAAGGCTATCCAACCTTAATTATTAATTTTACGTGTTCCACTATCAATTGTCACTTTAAGAATTCAATAAAAAAAATTCAATTTTCACTCCTCCAAAACTCTTTGCCTCTCAACTTCTTTAACGCTTCTCCTTCGACGATTATGATTTCTTTTAGTGATTGATAAATTGGATTTGAAAAACAGTTCATTGATAGTGACAATTAAGTCTTAAATTAATGTACTATATATGTCTTTTATGTTCCAACGCATGAACGGGTCAATTCATAATTAATCAAGTTCTGTAATGATTAATTGCTGAACCATAAACCACTAAATTTTTCAGTTCTCCGATCTAGTTTTGTAAACACAGCCCCCGGCCCAACCAAACAGCTCAACTCCAAAACGTCTGCGTTTCATGACTATTCACCCTAAGAGGCTAAAACCCTTATGCGTCCAATAAATCAACGCAGAAGATCAGCTGTTGTCCAAAACCCTTCATCTTTGAACTCAGCTTTCGCGAAATCCCTAGCCCCATCCTAATTCCACAGTCGCCAATTACCATGGCCTCTCAGGCAGCCAGAGGCGGTGTTTCGCTCCCGGAGAAGCGTCCTCCCAAGCGTCAACAGCCCGACTCCGACACCATCCTCGCGAAGCTAACCAACTCCGAGATCGTCTCCAAGGGCAAGCGAGCCGCGTGCGACACCGCCTATGTCACCAAGAGACTCCTCCGCAGCACCGGCAAGGCGGCTTGGATCGCCGGGACCACCTTCTTGATCTTGGTGGTGCCGTTGATCATCGAGATGGATAGGGATCAGCAGCTGACCGAGCTCGAGCTCCAGCAGCAGAGTCTCCTCGGAGCACCGCCGGTTGGTGCGCCTCAGAAGTAGTGGTCTGCCCGCCCCCTCATTTTGAGTGTCTGGTCAGGTTAGAGACGCGGTTCATCGGATTATGTTGGGAAATTGGGGAATTTTGAGCTGAATAATTGGCGGTATTAGTCATGATTGTTGTACTATTATGCTCATACTTGATCATATGCCATTTGATGGTTTTGCAAATTACCTTGATTGCCTTGTCCCTTTCGACTAGTGATTGCGTTTTCAGATCCTCGTGGATCACTGTTCTGTTGGTTTGAAGTGAATGTCAACAATGCGTAGTACTTGAGCTGAATTTGAATGTTATTTCAGTTGGCGATAGGTTTTGGATAAATCTTTCATTCGTTCTATCTTGTTAAGTTACGAACTTGACAATGGCGAGCCGGTTTTATCAGGGCTCAACTGCTTTACGATCATGATTGCCTTCTTCCTCTCGGCGGGGAATTGCGTATTCATATCCTTGTGCATCAGTGTTGGTGTGAATGTCTGCTTGCTATGCGCAGTACTTGAGCAGACTGGACAGTGACAGACTAAAGATGTGGTTATGAGCCAGTTCATAGCCTAGGTTTCCTTTCTTAACAAGAAGCACAGTTATCCATTAGCTTGGTGAGAAGGGCTTCATACCAAATTGCTTGTAGAGATCTATTAGAGTAGGAAACATATCTTGATTATGGAAACTGTCTCTGCTGCCTTCAATTTTGTTGTTCAATCCATCAGAGATGCTTCCTTTCTTGCAGCGGAATAGGTCGGAAATCATGGACTTTGAATTGTGTTCTCCTCTTGCAAGGTTCTTGGTAAGTTTGGAGGATGATCTGAAATCTAGGCGAAGAGGTCTGAGAAATTCAAGTATTACGGGTTGGTTGCCTCTCTGTGTTTATTCTGTTTACTGGAAGGTCCATGCGGTTCGATTCAGCAATTATATTAGGTCTGGTCAGTATGAGGTCTGCTTCACAGCTTGTATGCATACTGATGAATTGCAGATTGACCCTTGTTGTTAGCCAGTCAAAACTCGACACTGTGGACATGTACTTTTCTTTGTTAGCAATCATGGTGGACTTGCTAAATGTGTAGAGAAGTGATTGCTAATATTTAACATTTCAAAAGTATGACTGCTAACACATCAAAGTGGGGGTTCGGTTTGATTGCTAACAAAAAACCAAGTATAATCACCGTGGAAGCCTGCAATAAAGTGGGTTTGGTTTAATTTATCAATCCTCAATCAGGTCCACGTTGTAATTTTCCTTTGGTGGTTTTACTATTGATTAAATTACGGAAAATCTGATAATAGGTTGGAATCTATTAAACTAACCAAGCCTTCTTGGACAGAATACTGACAGGCGACCAACCTTCAATTGAATAAAATGCTAAGAAAATTCACACAGATTTCCCCTACTTAGAATGAATTCCATTATTCTCAAATAACTGGGGGTGGAGGTGGTATTTACAATAACTAGTTTTTGAGTTATTTGTAATCAATGTATATTTATGATTATAATTATAAATAAAGGATAAATACAATTTTTATTCGCTAAACTTTTCATACATTTTAAATTATTAGCCAAATCTTCTGTAAAACATCATGTTGGGCCATAGCTGAGCGGTATTGGGCTTATAAGCCCAGGGCTTGTAAGCCCACAGAAAGCCCAAGGAGAAAGGGCCGTCGGGAGGCCCGAGGAGCGGACATGGGGAACAGAGAAAGGAGGGCGGCCGCCCTAGGATGGGACAGGTAGTAGGCCGCCTGACACATTGAGCCGTTACTCGGGATAGGGCGAGATCTCCCCAAGATACTCACCTCGAACTCCGCAGGACTGAGCATTAATTGCCCGCCGTAGGCGGTCTAGATAAAGAAGGGTCGATCTAGGACGCCTGACAATGGCATTAATTGCCCGAAACCCAGACCAGATCACTATAAATACATTCATATCTGCATTGATGGTAAACCAACTACTCTCTCTCTCTCTAAACCAAAAAACATAAACTCTCCATTCCATCTCTAACTTAAGCATCGGAGGGTGTCCAGGGCGACCGCCCAAGGACCCTTGTTTTGCAGGAGCATTGGAGTACCCCATCCTCTAGAACAGACGCATCGCTCGTTCCTCTCAAGACCGCCTAGAACATTCTAGGCTCAAACAATTTGGCGCCCACCGTGGGGCGAGAGATAGCGCTGAAGAAAGGATGGATGGGAGCTCCAACACCCCTGTCAAAGACATGATCGGAAGAAGCGACCCTCGCGGTCCAGATGTACAGGCAAGTGGCATCCGAGGATTGGAAATGCCCACTGTGGAGGAAGAAATGGAGATGGAGGACCGCGTGAAAAGCCAGGGACAGCAAATACCGAGCAAGCCAAGGAATGCTACCAGGCAACAATAGAGAGCCTGGAGGTGGATTTGGTAGATACTAGAGGAGGACACCCGCGCCCAGAAGCAGTAGAAGGAGACGCAGAAGTCGTCCTTGACAGTGAGGAGCCGGAGAAGAAGGTGAGAATCTCCTCTCATCTCACGGAGGAGAAGGCAAGGGAGCTCTTAGCGCTCCTCAAGGAATACAAAGATCTATTCGCATGGACCTCGGAAGACATGCCAGGTGTATCAAGAGAACTCGCTGAGCATCATTTGGCGGTCAAGAATAAATCAAAGCCTGTTCAGCAACGAAGAAGGAACGCCTCCTTGGAAAAGCAGATGGCATTGGAGGAAGAAGTAAGGCGGCTGCTCAAGGCCGGCTTCATAAGGGAAGTCAAATACCCAACTTGGCTGTCAAACCCTGTCTTCGTCCGGAAGGCTTCAGGACTTTGGCGGATGTGTATAGACTTCACAAACTTGAACGCGGCCTGCCCCAAGGATGCATACCCTCTGCCAAGAATTGATCAACTCATAGATGCAACCGCCAACCATGAAAGCCTGAGCTTCCTCGACATGTTTTCTGGATATCATCAAATCCGTCTATCCGAAGAAGACCAGGAAAAGACCGCATTCATGACTCACATGGGAAACTTCTGCTACACGGTCATGCCTTTCGGCCTCAAAAACGCGGGCGCAACATACCAGAGAATGATAGACGCGGTCTTCAGGAGCCAGATAGGAAGAAACGTGGAGGCGTATGTGGATGATGTGCTGGTCAAAAGTAGGAAGGAAGAGGATCACCTGAAGGATTTGAAGGAAACTTTCGAAAGTTTGAGGAAAGAACGCCTGCGTTTAAACCCGCTTAAATGCGTGTTTGGCGCCAAGGCGGGGAAATTCCTAGGGTTCATGATTACCCGAAGGGGAATAGAAGCAAACCCAAAGCAGATAGAAGCTATCGCAGCCTTGAGACCGCCCCAGACTGTCAAAGAGATCCAAGCGTTCAATGGAAAAATGGCCGCTCTGAGCCGTTTCATTCCCCGAGCCGCCGATAAGTGCTCACCTTTCTTTCAAATGCTCAAAAAGTCGGCCTCTCGTTCCCAGTGGAGCGCAGAGTGTGATAAGGCATTCTTCCAGCTGACGGAGCAGCTCACCTCACCGCCAGTGCTGAGCGCCCCGCAACCGGGCGAGCCACTATACCTTTATCTGGCGGTCTCGGATCAAGCAGTTAGTTCAGTGTTGGTAAGAAGAGATGGGGATGGCTCAGATCACCCCATCTATTATGTGAGCAAGGCGCTCCTCCCGGCGGAGAAGCGATACATGCCAATAGAACGAGCAGTCCTAGCGGTTGTCACAGCCGCTAGGAAACTCCGCCCATATTTCCAAGAGCATCAGATCATCATTCTCTCAAATCTCCCCTTACGAAGAATCCTGAAAGGAATGGACGTGTCGGGGCGAATGACCAAATGGGCGGTCGAACTCAGTGAGTACGATATAACGTACGCCCCACGACCCGCCATAAAGGGGCAGGTTTTAGCAGATTTCATCGCCGAGGGATTCAGCCTAGGAAGTGTGGAGAATTCGGAAGTTTGGCGTCTGTTCGTCGACGGGGCAGCAGGAAAAGGAGGAGCAGGAGCGGGGATAGTCATTGAAACGCCCGCAGGAGTGGTCCACGAGATATCTCACCGTTTCATTGAGTTGAAGACCAACAATGTCGCAGAGTATGAGGCGCTTCTCAGCGGATTGAAGATCGCGGTTAACATGGGGGCATCCCATGTCCATATATACTCCGACTCATTGCTGGTAGTCAACCAAGTGTTGGAAAGTTATGAAGTCAAGGAGGAAGCGCTTGCCAAATTAGCAGGGGCAGTAAAGGGCATCCTGTCCCAACTGGACTCTTGGAAACTGGAGCATGTGAAGAGGGAAGAAAACCATCACGCTGACGCCTTATCCAAGTTGGCAACCGCCATGGATTTTGAAGGGGAGCGACGGATAACGGTAACTAAAGAGGGGCTCCAGGCGTGCGAAGTAATGACCTTGGGGGAGGAAGATTCCGACTGGCGGTCTCCGCTGGTTAAATACCTGCAAGATGAAATCGTGCCAAATGATGCCGTCTCGGCCAAGGCGCTCTGGAGAAAGGCCGCCCAGTATACCATGGTGGGAGGACAGCTGTGCAAAAGGTCTTTCTCAGGTGCATATTTAAAGTGTCTCGGTCCAGAAGAGGCTAAGTGGGTAGTCAAAGAGATCCACCAGGGAACGTGTGCAACGCACTCAGGGCCGCGGAGCCTAGAGCGGACGATACTGTTGCAAGGATACTATTGGCCAACGGTGAAGAAGGATGCATTGGAAGTGGTTCAGAAGTGCCACGAATGCCAAGTCCATGCGAGCAAGCAGCACCTGCCAAGTGAACAGCTGAGGAGCATCACTGGGCCATGGCCGTTCGCACAGTGGGGCCTAGATCTCCTCGGACCGTTCCCCACAGCTCCGCTAGGGAAAAAGTACTTAGTTGTAGCGGTCGACTACTTCACGAAATGGATCGAGGCGGAACCGCTGGATACAATCACCAGCGCCAAAATCCAGAAGTTTTTGTTCAACAACATAATGATCAGGTTCGGAACACCTCACACCATTATAACTGATCATGGCACACAGTTTGACTGCAGACCGTTCGAGAACTTCTGT